TGTAGCAGGGACCTGAAATCTGAAATCTGGAGAACCTGTACTTTGATGAACTCAAAGGATTGCCTTGCTGCTGCTCTGGGTAAGAGCCTGCATTGTATTACTGATGTACTGGCCGGTGGCTTTGTGTGTCATTTTGGGGGATGGAGATGAAGGGGCACCTGCTTTTTTTTTCTTTTAAAGATTTATTTATTTATTTGAATGGCAGTTACAGAGAAGCAGAGAGAGAGAGAGAGGTTTTCCATCCACTGGTTTACTCCCCAATTGGCTGCAACGGCTGGAGCTGTGCCGATCTGAAGCCAGGAGCCAGGAGCATTTTCTGGGTCTCCCATGTGGGGGAAAGGGACCAAGGACTTGGGTCATTTTCCACTGCTTTCCCAGGCTATAGCAGAGAGCTGGATCGGAAGTGGAGCAGCCGGGACTCGAACTGGCGGCCATATTGGATGCCGGCACTGCAGGTGGCAGCTTAACCCACTACGCCACAGCGCCAGCCCTGCGCCTGCTTCTTCTGAACTATTTACATGAAGAGAAAAACAAGTGTTCTTCCTCCTCTGGTAGCAAGGGCAGCCACATCCTCTGGAGACTGCCACACTGGTGCTGGGGGTCCCTGGCAAGGTGACTGAGGGTGTTGAACGTAGGTGGCCATTTCACAGTCTTAAGCTCAATTATTGAGACCTTAACCTGGGCGTTTTTGGCTGCCCAGTTTCAAGAAGTCTAGGATTTGCTTCTCTTTAGGATCTTGGGTCTATCATAAAGACCTTACACCTTTCTTTTTTCCTTTTGTTCTGAAGTATTGGGCCAGCCACGGCCCCTTTGCCTTGCCACTGCAGGCCACCAGGGGGAGCCCTGCATGCAGGGTGTACTGCAAAAGGCTGCCTTTCACTGTCTGAGCCTGAGAGGAGCCTGAGAGGCCTTGGGTGGAAACGGGGCTGCCTGGTCCACCCTGCAGTCCCAGCCCCTAGTGTGCGTTACTCACACCCCAGCCTTCCTTGAGGCTGTTCCGTAGTCTTATTTTTCAGTGAACTAAGGAAACTAATTCTAAGATAGATTTTTCTAACATTCCAGAACACCAAACACCCTTACATCTCAGGTAAAATACCCAGGATTCTAAAGGGCAAGGCATTTTCCGTGTCTGGAAGCTACCGTACCTACCATGGAGGGCGCCCTGCTGTTGAGGGCCCTAAAGAGGCCTCTTTGACTCTGATTGGCAGCTGAAGATGTGTTCACGCCCTCACCGGCGGCGTTTGGCATGGGGTTAAAGTACCACTGGGGTTGCTTGCATCCCTATCAGAGTGCCTGGGTTCAAGTCCTGACACTGCTTCCGTTCCAGCTGCCGGCTGGGGCGCATCTTGGGAGGCAGCAAGTGATGGCTCATGTCCTTGTCACTTACACGGGAGCCCTGGATTGAGTTCCCTACTCCTGGCTTCCTTGTGGGAATTTTGGGAGTGAACCCACAGATGGGAGCTCTCTCTGTTTCTTAAATAAATAAAAAAATCAAATGGCAGGGATGGTAACATGACCATTGCTGATGGATTGAGATCAGACAGCAGCTTCTCATTCTATTTCGGATAAGACACTTAGGGAAGATAAGACATTGGAAGGGAAGACTATCTGTGTATTTTACCCTGGCTCTAGCCTAACATTTGTTTCCGAGAAAAGCTGGCTGTCAGTGCAAGGGCCTCGGTTTAAACTGAGAACAGAACAGAACTCTTAAGTGAAGTTGCCGGAGGCCTGCTCCCCCGTGGAGCAGGAGAGAATTTGACAGGCTCGTTCATGGTGACAGGGCTGCATGTGTTGGGATTTCTTCTCACAGGGCAGCTCTGAGCTGGGCCTGTCCTCGGTACAGAGAGGAAGGCTGCACAGCTCACTGGCTCACTGCTTCCAAGCTTTCTGCTGTTACTTGAATTTGCAGAATCGGCAAAGAATTCCCAGGAGATGTGAGGAAAGTGCTGTGATTAGAGTTCTCGTAAACACATATTTGAAGTTGAATGACGTGAAGGTTGACGCTAGTCTGGGAAGGAGGACAATGGTGTTTTTGTCTTAGTTCTGGCATTCTAGACCCTGCGAGTCCCCTCCTCGTGGCTGCGTTCCTCCTGATGGAACGCAAGGGTCCCCTGTGCTTTCATATGGGAGACAAGAGCAGCTCACTGGAGTGTTTTCCTCTTCACATGGTCTGCCAGGAAACTCGAGTCAAATGCAAAGCTTGATTTAAGGAACTGCAGTACCCATGGCCTGATGCCCTAAAGCCATGTTCCTTCTTGGTTTTGACTTTCTGTTCCAGCTTTTGTTTTCCCAGCATTTTATTATTTTTCCTAAGTAATATGTTATTGCACACATCTTTTACCCTGCACATCCAATCCCTTGTGTGACAAGGATAGCACAGGGCAGAGATGGAATGAGGAGGTCTCACTCGATTTGCTCAGGGACCCTTCAGTCCTGCTGTTTCAGGACTCTGGGAGGAAAAGTAACTTTACATGTGTGAGAGGTACGGGTTTGCACAGGTGGGAGCGTGCCTGTGGGGGATCCTAAAGACTTCCACGCCTCCGTGGAAGGAGGCTTAGCCGGGGTGTTCTCCAGCGTCACAGGGAGGCGTCTGGGAAGGAGTTTGTACTTCGTGCAAGTTGATGCAAAGATATCAGGGATTTTTGAGACTTGCCCTGTGTGAAATTGTTGGAGAAATTCCTGTCTGGGGTGGGGCTCAAGAATCTGTGGCTGCTGCAGGAACCCCAGGTTGTTTTGTTGTGGGTGTCCCTGAGTCACCTCTGGCTCTGAGGAAGTGTGAGGGTCTGTGTGCCTGTGTGTTGGGGGATGAGGGGCTGGTGGAGGCTGGTGGAGCCTCTTGTCCTGCGCCCATCTCGATTTTTTTTTTATTGTGCTGAGTACCTCGATAAAGCTTGCATTACTGTATGGGTGTTTATATAAAGACTGATAGCATCCATCAGTCTGTCCATCACCTATCTATCTAAAGGCACTCTGCTACATTGGGTAGATGGAAAGCTCTAGAAATCTGTCCAAAGCCCACACCCATTATTAAGTACTTATTCATGTTCAATGTGATTAACCCACTTTATCCAGGGACCTGCATGGGTTCCGTGAATGTCTGTATCTGGTTTATTGTGACAAGGGCTTTCCTGAGGACGCCTCTGCTGTGTAAAGCAGAGTTTCTCAGATGTCCTGGAGTCGACTGGTTTGGGTTTGGGTTTGGGTTTGGGTTTGGGTTTGGGTTTGGGTTTGGTCCTGATTTGTGCCATGAGGCCTAGGAACTGGCTACATACAGGTGCACATTTCAAAGTCCGTGATAATGGTTTGGATCTTTATGATCTATTCCTGAACAAAAACAATGTCTAGAGCCTCTTGGAATATTTAAAATCTGGATGATTTGTTCCTTTCCCCCTCTGAACCCAATCTTTTTTTTATACAATCCTGAGCACAGTCTCTGTCATAGGTCCCCATTGTCCAGATTCTGCTGTTTTAGAACAAAATGATGCCACAGACTTTCAGGGCCACAGTGAAGAGACTCATCTCTGCCACACTGGGTACTAGGAAGGCTTAGACTTGGGGGCAACAGGGCTTGCTCCCCCTGAGAAAGAGGGTGTGGAGAGGCTCACTGATCCTTGGTCAGGATGGATTTGCTGTCTGAGGGTGCGGCCTTCAGAGTCCTCTATTGTCAGCCGCCATGAGTGCTCACATTTGCTGAGTTGGGCCAGAGTGGTTCTGGGGCATGATTATACTACTCCTTCCCACGGCCTCTGAAGAGGGTACAGGCATCATCACCCCATTGCAATGAGAAAACTGAGGCAAGGAGGAGGAGGTGTAAGTTACCCTGGGTGCACAGGTAAAGCCCAGCGTAGGAGCAGGTGTGCTGGCTCCAGAGCTCACCTTCTGAACTGTAAGTCGGACCACCTCCCAGCCGCAGGAGCGAGCTGGTGCAGAGTGGGAAGGATCAGTCTGAGCGTGTCCTGGTTGCGTGTACCCCTTGCACCCCACAAGAATAACCAAAGGTTCACTCAGTAAACCTCTGACCCATGGGTTCCAGACAATGTAGGTTACTTCCACGGCTCTCCTGGGCCCAGCAACCAAGACCTATTGCCCCTGGGAGGTACTTAGCTGGTTACGGATTATATAGGTCAAAATGGGTTCATAGTTTACTTGACTTAACTGGGTGGTAGGCACTGTACTTTTGTCTTTGGGAAAATTTTTCCCATCAGTTTTCTGCTAAGCACCTTTGTCTTTTCAAGTTTTTAGGTACTTTTTGGGAGTTGTCTTTCTTTCTAGTTCATCTGTCTGCATTGATTCGTCCCACTTAGGAAAGAGAAATTTTATTTTAATGTAAAAGATTGATAATGTCAGGTGCGATCAATATGAAGTTCAAAGAGCTCAAATCAATAAAGAAAGTGGGGTAGAAAGACATGTTGGGATTTGAGGGGGTTCATGGCTAACTCTGCTCTGTGCTGTTTTAGTTTTGAACCGATTGAGAAATAAGGTCAAAGGCTGAGATATACAGAGCCTACACCATCCTCTGTTGTAGATAGGAGGATCCTGGAGAATGTAGGTCACAGCTGCAACAAGCAGGGTTCCCAGTGCTGCCCTTCAGCATCAGGCCGGGCTCCCCAGCTGCACTGGCCCGGGGCAGAGCCTCCCCTCTCCAGGGACCGAACTTAACCACCCCCCCTGGGGGGGCAGGGACACTTACAAGAGCCTGTTCCAAGCTAAGCAGGGGCTGGGGCTGCCTCGATTTAGGTTCATCTTCCCAGCTGTCCAATCAGATGAACCGCACCGTGGCTCTCGTTGAAGGGGTGTGGGAGGTGACTGAGTGTGGCCCTAAAAGAGGCAGCTCCTACCTTAGGGAAAGGGAAGAGACCGTGCTGCTAACAAATGGAGGGGAACGGAAGCCTCGGGGCTCTTTCTTTGGGGATTGTTTGGTATTTGTGCTGAGTGTCTCCGTGTGCCTTGTGCTGGCAGAGGTGTGAGCTAACTTGCACTTGCTCTGTTTGCATTTTTAGATTCTTGACTACCAGAACACCACCTTCTTCGGGGGCGACTGTATATCCATGATCGACTACCTGCTCTGGCCCTGGTTTGAGCGGCTGGATGTGTATGGGATAGCAGAGTAAGACACTGGACCCTGCTGCCATGAATTCCTGGGGCCATGCTGAGGACCAGCGGTTGCCCCTGGCCCGGCTGGGAGCGTGTTGCAGGATGCATGTGATAGGCGCTCAGGTTTCCAAGCCATGGGGCCGCGCCTCCTTGGGCTTGTCTACCACCAAGTGTGGATCCCCATTTTGCCTGTGTCACTACAGACGAAAGCCAGTGTCCATCAACTTCCCACAGAGTGTTAGAGCCTGCCATCCTCCTCCCTGGCCAGACACAGGCAGAGGGGCTTGGGCACAGCATCTGACCCTTGTCTGCTGCCACATCCAGGGGACACGTGTGCCTGAATCCCCTCTTGGTTCCCTGAGCAATCTTACCCGATGCAAGAATGCCGCTGTTTGAAAAGTAATGCGTGCTTGACGTAGGAATGTGCAAACAAGGTGGTCACCGCACCCCTCAGGAGTGCAGGCATGTTTGCAGCAGGAGCAAGAGCTGCGGAGGGCCCTGGGCGGAACCCACACTCTGTTCTCTCAGAGCCCAGGGCGGGAGCTGGACGAGTGTCAGTACCAGTCCCACGGTGGGCACAGGACCCACACGCGGACTCAGGTCTGCATCCAGCCTTCCCCGAGGGGAGAGGAACTGCACTGTGTCTGATGACTGTAATCAGCACTTCACACAGAAAGACGTGTCTCCTCTTTAGGCAGAACGCTGAGGCTGAACTTCGCACACTTATTCCTCACCTCCTAGATTTCTCCCCCGTTGCTCTACTCCTCTCAAGCAGGTTGCTTTCTACCCTTGGCAGGGCTGGGGGACCATTTTTCTGGGTATTTGTGACCTCATTTGTGGGTCATACACAACAATCAGTGCTGTAGATTTATTGAATTTTGAGTCCTATCTGTGGTTGCCTTGGCAGGGCTGGACCAAATGATATCACAAGCTTTATATGGCCCGCGGATGGGACGGTCCCCACCCATGCTAAACCTAGACTTCCTGATCCATCTCTGAAATGGCCCAGTAAGCTCCATTATGTCACGGTTTCGCGATTGTTTTAATCATTTGAAAAATACTTTGGAAACCACTTTTTATCTTTTTCAAAGCCCCGGCCACCAAAGTAAAATCTGAGACTGCCCCAAGCACGTTTGCTGTGCAAACTTGGGCCACAGTGATACTCGGCTTTCCCCAGAGCCATCTGTCCATGAGTACTTCTCTGTGGGTTAGAAGCCACTTCCACAGCTCACAACACAGCTGTGCCCAGATTAGGTCTTCCTCCAGTAAATGACCACACTCACCTCATAAGCTAAGCCAGGCTCATGTCTTCCCCCAATAAACCCATCCTATCTTGTTGGTCCAGTAGTGATGTGTGTCCCCTCTCCCCATGCCTTCCCCGTGGTGTGCTGACCTTCTTTCCTGCCTTGCAGCTGTGTGAACCACACCCCGACACTGCGGCTCTGGATTGCAGCCATGAAGCAAGACCCCACCGTCTGTGCCCTCCTCATAGACAAGAACATTTTCCTGGGCTTCTTGAACCTGTATTTCCAGAACAACCCTAATGCCTTTGACTTTGGGCTAGTCTGCTGAGCTTCGCCATGCTCCCTTGGCCATCCACTCCAGGGATCGTCTCAGATTCCGCTCCAGGGATTGTCTTCAGGGGTCAGTCCATCTCTGTTCCTTCTCTTCAGGGTTCCCAATAAAAACAGAAACAGGAAAAGCATTAATTCTGATCATCGCTTGTCTGACTTCACTAGCCTATAGCTTCAAATCCATCTCCTAAAGTGCTGGTGTGGGAGCGCAGTTCGGGGACCTCTGTGTCCCTGGGGTGCCTTGGTTTGGCCCAGCTTGTCCTCCAGGTGATCGATGCTGGTGCTGATGTTGAGGTTCAGACCCTATGTGTATTTGTCGCCAGCAGATTGGTGCCCTCCAGAAACCTCCCCGGCAAGAGAAAAGCATGGAAGGAGGGAGAAACAAGAAGGAAACTCCCAGTCCGAAGACCCTCGCCTCTTGGCAGTGAACACGGCCATCCACGTGGGTGGGTGGGCATGTGTGTGTGTCATTCACATTCAGCTTTTGGCCATGGGCCTGCGAGGCACTGAGGGTCTTGTGACCGGAAAGAATTCCAAAGCAGGAAATGAAACGCCCGTTTATCACCGTGGGCTCACTACGTCAGAATTTCACGGGGGCCATCAGGGCTCAGGATATCTCACAAAATGTTCTACAGCCAGCATCCTGCCTACAAATAAATAACAGGCACACCCCAAAGCCAGCCACAGGCAAAGGTCGCACTGTTGGATCTGCGTCACACACCCTTTGAATTGGTCCCAGCAAAGGCCCCTGGTGGCCTGTTGGGTACCGGATCCAGGCCACGAGGGGGATAAAGTTGACAAAGACCTGGGCTCTGCCCCACTGCAGCCACACATCTCTCCATCACCTTGGTGCGGGTTTTAGCACAGACCTCTGAACTGTGTACTTGCAGTGAGAATGCCTGGGCCCCTCTGCTGGCTTGGGCAGGCAGCACTGCAGCAGGAAAGCAACAATGCGAGAGCTCGGCCAGGTGTGTGAGCAGGTGCCTGAGGCTGGGAGCGCCTGCAGCCTTCCTTAGAGGAGGGGACCAGGCTCGCCCAGTGCTGTTTACCTCCCCATGTCGCTCTGATCACTTCTGCTTTGCTCTCACTGAATCCTCCCCCAGCCGACTGAGAGGCCGACAGCAGCAGCCGCAAGCCCCCGGCTTCACTTGTTTGGGCCCGCGGAGGAACTAGCTGCAGTCCCTGCCTCAGACTTGGCCCAAAGCAGCCCTCTGCATCTCAGCCTGGCCCTGCCATCTGCTGGCTCTGTGCGTATTTGGACCCATGTAAACAGCTTCCAGGTGTTACTCCGTGCCAGCTGGACAGAAGCAAGCCTGCTTGATGAGCTGCCTGGGCTGCCAGAAGAGGTGGCGTGTGGTGGGCGGTCTGTGGTGCCGTCTGCTCTGGATGCTGCACCCTGTTGCCATGGCACCTGAGCTAACAGAGTGATGGCTGTGAATCACTGTTTCCCTGGGGTGTGTGCGAGGGGAGGGGAGAAGCCTGCCCTGTGGCCGCAGGGGAGTGCTCAGCCTTGGCAGGCATAAATCCTGCATGGAATCGCTCCTGCTGCATCAGAGAATGGAATGACCTGGTGCATCAGCGAACGGCATGACACAGGTGCTGCCTTCTGGGGCTCCATGGACTAATTCCGAAAGCTTGAAGGACAGTCCTAGAAAACCGTGAAGAGACGACAAGTGGGGGAAATTTGCAGGCTGGCAGCCCACAGCCCAGTCGGGTGTCCGGCCACCTTTCGGCCAGGCATGCTCTGTGGTTTCCAAGGGTCCTGGTCCCTTGTACTGCCTGGACATCCTCCTTCTTTGTGTCATCTGCCTGACCCCCCTGTTGTCAGCTTCTGGGAGCAACTCGAAGGCTTCAGCCTGCAGAAGAGTGAAGCAGACAATTTACACTTAGTGAAGGGCTCTTAAAGGTGCTTCCCGTATGGGAGAAGGGGGCAGAAATCCTCCATCGTGTGCCAGAGTACAGTAACATAAGAAGGTAGGAAGCCCGTTAGTTGACATCTCAGACCTAGCCACTTTTAATTCGAGGTGTGTGTCTTATCAAAAGCACTTTGGACTTCGGGATTTAATATGAGAGCCCTGTCTCTTGTAGATGGGAGAAATAATGGGGTTGACACCACAGCACTTGTCACAGATGGTGTCAGCATCAGAGACCACGAGCAGAGGAGGTTGTGTGGAGGCTCCTCCCTTGGAACCAGAGGCAGCCTGGACTGAGTCTAGTTCCATGCATGATGGGGGTGGTTGAAGGGGTGTGACCAGGGCAGCTGGCAGTGGTGGGGACAGTGACTGCATGTTAACTGAAGTTCCTTCCAAGTCTAAAAGTCGCTGATCTCTGACAAGGGAAGTGGCTGTGAGTGTTAAAGTGGATTTGATCTCAACTCTTTCAGGCACAAGCTAAAGCATTCCCTTCAGCAAATGCCCACCTGGTGCCCCCACTTTGCTCCTTGGAGTTTGGGTGACTGTGGTGGTGGGGTGGGGGGGCTGGGTGACCTCTGCCTCCTCTGCAGGTCTCCCCTGTCCATGTTTCCTATGTCAGAGCTGAAGGCCTTTTTGATGGAGGGGAGACTGGGCTGCTGTGAGTTGAGAACCAAGCTGACTCCCTGAGGTTTTAAATCAGCCTGGTTTGTTGTCTGAAGCCTTCACAAAGATCCAAGGATGCCCAGAGGGGTCCTCACTGATTAGCCCCTTGCTCCTTCTTGCCCCTCACTGAGCACTGTGCTCACCCAGGGCCCCTCTGGCCCCTTCATCTTCATCCGTGAGAGCCTGGGAGGCCAGACACGTGTGTGGTCTTTTGAACATTTCCTCTCATCTGGCTTGTTGGAGCTCTTGAGCCTTACTCCATGGGCTCATCTTCCTCAGAGCAGGCTCCTGGATTTCTTCAACCAGCTCTTGTCAACCAGCTCTTGTCTTAAAGAGTTCAAATGGAAGTCCTTTTTTTTATATGCAAAGAGAGGGGGTGTACCATCATGGTTAAGAAAGGCTATGTTGGGGTGGGCACTGTGGTGTAGCTGGTTAAAGCCCCCGTCTGCAGCGCTGACATCCCATATGGGAGCTGGTTTGAGTCCCAACTCCATTTCCGATCCAGCTCTCTGCTGTGGCCTGGGAAAGCAGTAGAAGATGGCCCAGGTCCTTGGGCCCCTGCACCCACTGTGGGAGACCTGGAAGAAACTCCTGGCTCCTGGTTTCTGATCAGCACAGCTCCGGCCGTTGTGGCCATCTGTGGAGTGAACCAGCGGATGAAAGACCTCTCTTTCTCTCTGCTTCTGCATCTCTGTAACTCTGCCTTTCAAATAAGTAAATAAATTTTTTTTTTAAACAGTGGTGCGTGGTCACACACACTGGGTTCAAACCCTAGCTCTGCCACTCATTAAGTTCCTTGGGAAACTTGCTTAACTTCTATGAGCCTCAGTTTCTTTTTTTTTTTTTTTTCTTTAAGATTTATTTTATTTATTTGAAAGACAGAGTTACAGAGAGAGGTAGAGACAGAGAGGTCTTCCATCCATTGGTTCACTCCCCAGATGGCTGCAACTGCTGGAGCTGAGTCGATCCAAAGTCAGGAGCCAGGAGCTTCTTCTGGGTCTCCCACGTGGGTGCAGGGGCCCAAGCACTTGGGCCATCTTCTACTGCTTTCCCAGGTCATAGCAGAGAGCTGGATTGGAAGAGGAGCAGCCAGGACTAGAACCAGCACCCATGTGGGATGCCAGCACTTCAGGCCAGGGCTTTAAGCTACTGTGCCATGGTGCTGGCCCCGAGCCTCAGTTTCCTATCTGTAAAATGGGGTTACTACCTATCTATTGCATGGAGTTACTGAGGAATAATGAGATCCATGTCAGGGCTTAGTACCTGTTGGGTAATTCTCAGAGGATGGCAGGCAACGTACTATCAGAAGGAGGCTTCTGTTAGTGATCAGTTTGGACTCCATGTTCCTCCTCCCATCACTTTGTGGAAGTAAACGTGTCCTGCATGGTGTATGGCTCCATTCATGATTCGGACTTGTTTGTTGGTTGTTTCATGAAGCCTAATCTCAGTGACCTGTGAGCCACTGGAAGCTGGGATTGTATCCCTCTGCCTCTGCTCTTTTGTCTCAAGACCTACTTTAAGACCATGCATTCTTAATTCTTGCAGTGTTGTTGCTGGTAAAATAATACCCTCTCTCATGTTATAGAGGTGTACTGAGGATCTTGTTGCTTTGCCTTAGGTAAGAGAAGTTATTCAGTGACACTTGCTAAAGTGCAGTAAGGAAGACTTTCTTCAGGACCCCAATGGCAGGCATAGAGACCACTGCAACAAGGCTTCGAAGTGGGAGACAGAGCTCGACTCTGAATGCAGTGTGGGAAAGTGGAAATGTATAGCCAAAGGGCATGGGGTGGGCAGCAGGGGGAAGGTTGCTAAGGGCAGACGTTAAGATGGGCCAGGGTGATTAATCGACAGGGGGTGGTAAAGACGAGGAGCCCCATGAGACATGGAGTATGGTCAGATGCTAGGATGGCAGAGCAGTTCTTTGCTAAAATTGGATTTTCCAAGTTTAAGTGTGCAGATGGGCCCAGGAGAAGTTCAGGGCCTGATTGCAGTTTGATCAAGCAGAAAATATTTGTCCCCTCCTGGAACAGGTGTCTCCTTCAGAGAGTGGGGGTAGGGAGGGTCGGAAATGCCATCGGCTCACCCAGTTACAAGGCAGTGTGGATGTTGTGTGGAACGCAAGTGCGCTGCAGGTTGGATGACCACACACCTTCCTCCTCTGCTCCACCTGGACTAGAATCCTGTCCCACTTGGCTTTGTTTTCTTAGGACCTGGCACAGAGCCTGACATAGATCACGTGCTTTGTGAATGAGCACATGCAGGAACACGCCATTGGATGGATGCATGGTGACTGGATGAGGGAACGGCTGCCCTGAGCCCCTTCCAGGTTGCTCATTACGACGTGGGTGTCACAGCTGACCCCCTACCCCACCCCCACCCCCACCCCTTTGCTGTCTAGAAGAGGGATTTGCATCTCTGGAGCAACAGGGGCGTCCTGCCAGGTACCTGGCTCTTCCTCCCTTGCCAACTGTGGGTTTCAGATCTGGCTGTCCTGCCAGGGGACTGGGAGAGGGGAGGGGTCACAGTAGAATTGGCAAGATACCCCTCCCAATTCCCTCC